AAAATAAATGAACTCTTTGTTTTTCTACGCATTGTGCAGTTGGGTCTTGCACATAAATAGGTGCAATGGTTTGTATTATAGAATAGCAGTCCTGTGGATAAGGAGACTCAAATTTGAGGAAGTATCAAGCCTTAAGCTAGCTATGTAAATATCCATCTGTATAAACATAATTTATCATAGTCTATCAGTTTTTGAGACATTTTAACTAAGCGTAATACGCAGATGTGTTTTTATCACAGATATTCAACTATCCAAACCATTTAGTTTCATAGAGATAATAAAATAAAAAAAAAAAAATTAACGAAATGATTTTGTTTCGTTTCGGAGCACAAATAAACAAACTCAACTGCCTGCTGTGATATCAACAGCATACTTCAATGTTAACGTTTAACATTATCTGTTAACGATTTAAAATTAACAACAGTTTCTCAGTCTCTCTCTTAAGATATACCATCGATTCACTATACTTGCCTATGACCTCTGACTTAAGACTACACTGTTACCACTTCAGTATTATTTTAAAAAATAAGGCCAAGGAATACCGTCCACCCACTCAATCGACACGAGAGGCGACATTCGCATAACGTACGGAATATGCCGATTGGGAAACGTTTGTTAAGCGTCGAGATTTAAAACTGTTGAGTCACAGTGTACATAATAATTCAACAGCTGAAATTTAGTAATTATGTAATTTTAAAAATTTATTTTTTGAGGGAAGTGAGAAAAGTTGTTTTGATGCTTAAAAGTGAGTATGAGGGATCGAAGGCGCTAGAATGAAAATTGAAAAGATTCATTTAATTCATAAATTGTTTTACATAACTTTCATAGTAAAGGCCTTAACTGCCTATATGTATGAGTTGAAAAATTAAAGTTTTCCTCAGCTAAAAGCCATGAACTACAAGTTGCTCTGTAAAGAATTTTCACTACGAATAATGCGCATAACATTTCTCAACGACTTCCAAGAGTGGATAGATTTAGAAGCTTTAAGTGATTGGTATAGGATGGAGGATTTATCGTAAAGTTTCATCGGAAAGGTCTTATTGTAAAAAGTAAAAATTGTACTTGAACAGACTCTAACTTATCGGAATGAAGTTGATAATTTGTAGTTCCATATCAGTGAACTATATTTTAAGAATGGTCTCACCAAAGTCGTATAAAGTGCTTAAGCACTACATAATGGTCTTTAAATTATTTTGACCATCTTTTGACAAAAGCAAAATCATTTTTAGCTTTTAAGACAGTTTTATTGATATGAAGATGAAAGTTGACTTTAGTGTACATTATAATGAACAAATCAACAGCGTTGTACACATGTTCCAGACTATTGTTATAAATTCTATAAGGCGTTAGTTGAACAAGTCTTTGTGAAAAGCACATCGTATTACACTTATGAAGGCTCAAAGGCAAATCATTGTTATCACATCTTCCATCGAATGGGGTATATGACATAAAAAGATTCGCATCATCGGCATATAACAATATATTTGAAACTGAAATTCATAATTTGTATGATTTATTATGGGAAATATATCATTTATGAATAATGGAAACTGAATCAGACCGGGATGACTACGCTGAGAAACTTCTGATGAGGCATTAATTAATTGTGATGAAGTGTCTTTAAGTGCCGCACGTTATATTCCATTGCAGATATACGACGATATTGTTTCATATAGGACTTTTTTCTTCAGAAATTATTGTGATATACAATTTTTTCTTTTTTTCTACGTGTTTTTATTTAAATACATACATACAAGAACATTTAGTATTCACAGAAAATTCAATAAACTCAAACGTCAAGCGTAATAAAAATTTCGCTGATATAAAGAAAGAGTCAAAGTTTTGTTGGAATGAGACTGAAAATGAATGTGACATATCTGACATTATGTCAAAACTGAGGTGTACACATAACGATATATAAATTTAAAATGGTAATAATGTATGTATATATGTATAAGCGGTATAAGCACATGAAGAGAAACCCGAATGTTTTTTAACATATTATACATACATTATTTACATCTTCACACATGTACACAAATTTATTCAATCAACCATGGCAAAGAAGATAAAATTTGCATTATATAGTTAAATCAATTTAAATATCAATTACGGCAAAATGTTTGCATATAAATTTAATATTACTCATACGCCATGCTCAACCAAATTAAGTTTGACACTTCAAATTGCTGGCGTAGAGGTTAATGCATTTTCTTGTCTGCCACCGTAGGGGATTATTTTAGTTAACAAAATTCCCTTGACGCCACTGCTTGCCATACGTGCCGCTTGTGTGATGATTAAACATTATACATATAATATATGTACATATGTATATAAAGCGAATGATATCGGAATCCAAAGAAACTTGACGCTTGTGAAATGTTGCAAAAACCACATTAAATTTTACCAGAAATAAAATTTAAAGATAAATGAGTCGCCGACATGCCGAGTAACGACAGCAAGTGTGGCAACACAACGTACATAACATTTGATTTCCGTTTGCACTTATGACTTTTTAAAGATTTCCGCACTTAAGGGAAAGATTTTGTGTTAGGAAATTTGTGTTACTGAGTGGGGCTAACCAATTGGCATGAGGATAAATGTCACTTCAGTGCCAACTCACAAGCCAGCGCTCTCGCATATCACTTACACTCAAACGTGAAGAATGGAAATAAGCATTTAAGGAATCGTAAATACAAAACTATATATGGTATGTGTGCTATGAATGCAGTGAAATAGTTGTAGGTGTATGTTTATGTTTAGTTTATGTGTTTACTTCTAGCACACGAATGTGCAAACAAATAGCACAGCTCAACATGTGTGCCAACACTTAAGCGACATAGCATTACTTTTGTGTGGGAATCACTCACTGGTGTTTAGGAGAAAATAGGAGAAGAAATGCGGTAGGCACATACCTACACACTCGTATTTACTCAATTACTTACGTAAATGCACAAATAACTGTCCCAAGTCGCTGTGTAGCTTCTTTGTTCGAAAGAACTGGTAGGAAGACCTTTTGAAACTGTGCCACCTTCGCACTGTTTTCACAATGAATTTAGAAGAGGAGACACTCTGAGCCCTACGATATGAATCAAAATTTCATACAATGAGATTCTATTACGCCAGAGAAAATATTAATAAATTGAAAGTTAGATAGACAAGAACGAATAATTTACAATTCTGTATAACTGCGAGCATACCACATTGAAATTGACATGAGGCCCACAACAACCGCGCCGCAACGAAACGAAGTCATCAAGCAAATTATCAGCGCATTCGCGTATCGACTGCCATATCTATCTTGATAGTTTTAGTTTTAAAGTTATAGATAATTTTGACTTTATTGAATAAAGGCTGTTTAGACCAACGCGCTACAGCCAAGTCTAGGCTGAAATCCAACACTGAATCACTCTTACCAACAGCTGCTACTTTGGACTAATTACGCCGCCAATGGCATAGTTCAGTGAACTGAGAGACAGCCGCTTCGCTGGTACACTAGGTACAAATGGATGAGAACACTTTAATTACGAACGCATTCGAAAATATGAAATTCTTGCAAGAGTCAGCGAATAGAATACATGACAAGCGTTTTACATACATTGTTTACCAATTATATTCGGTAGGGTATATCTGGCATTTTTGCATTTTTGAATACTGCGTACTTTATCAAACATCCGATAGTACTCCGACTCCTGTAAATCTGCACTATCTGTAGTTTCGATATTTTTTTACCATTCATTCAATGGACAATTTTGAACAATGAACCTAAGCTGGTTATTGTAAAATACTCAAAACCGTTTATACCAACAAAAATGGTATAATTGTTGTTCCTTTCTCTATAACTTGTTTATGTTGCTCTTCTGTGGTTTGGTTGCAAAAAAAAAAAACATAACTAGTAATTATCAAAAGGGAACGTTTAGCACTCAAGCCATTGTTGTTGGTAAGAACTCAAGCTTAATTCAAAGTACATTAATAACAGCATTTGATGATACTATTTTTCGTTTCCTCTTCAAGCTTTTTTTTGTTTAAACCACACTGTGCATCTTCTGTAAGGCTCTCAACTCTAAGTGTTATAATGAGATATATGTCTGTATATGATCCTTTTAAGTACTATTTACTTAGGTGTGTATGTTTCGAAATTTGAAAAATACATTAAGAGTTGCATCGTAAGCTTGAAATTGCATCTACACCACATAACTGTTCTACTATGCTTACATAAAGTATTGTGTCAAGTGTGCAGGTACACTTTTGTACAGTGCATAGGCCAGTAAATCAACTGAAGTAAATCATTTTTGGTGCATAAGGTAATAGGTAAGCAATAAACGATGCATGACTACTGAAAACTTTGAGTTATGTGTGACTTGAATGTGGTATAAAGGCTAGTAAATACCAGAAAATACATATAGGTGCAAGTTTTTGGTCAGCAAGATAATTTAGTTCATTACAAGTACAGCTCAAAAATCTAAAAATTCTTTTATTATTTGCGCAAAGAATAGTTTGGAATCACTTGAAATAGGCTGGATGTACAAAGAAGCTCTATGTATATGCGCCGCTTGAGCGAGCGGATAGTGAGTGGGGATAAAAATTTAATTACTTAAAGCATTTTACAAGGGTAGTAAACCGACACAAATGGTTTCCAAATCCATAGAAAATCCTGTGTAAATCGTTTGTTTTTTTTTTATTGCAAACAATGGTTTCTCTGAGAGAGGCATAGAGATATTAACTTCCGCATGGCAAAACTTATGGAGCAAAACAATTAAATGCAAAATCAGTGGTATAAATTTTACTGAACAAACAAAAAATTATGTCGATGGTTTGTATGCTTTTATTCCCTTTCGTGTTTGATTGAAACAAATCTTGCTTTATTTTTATATTATCCAATTATATTAGAAATAAACTCGACGGCCCTTTCAATACACTCACACTCATTACTGCAAACTGGGAGGGCATAAAAAAATAGTAGTACATTTTTAACAAAACTATTCTTTTTTCTATCACAGGTATGAGGACATGTACAATAATCCTATAAAGGGCACCAATTCGGAGCATCGTGATGTTGTACTCGACATACTGTCGGATGCGCGTGTTGTAGGTCCATTAATACAGACCGGTTTGTTTCATGCAGATGTCAATCGACGCAATTATATGTATGTGTTTGGACATAATAGCGCAACAGGACCACATGCCAATGTAAGTATGTTTAGGTTTGATCTTTTACAATAGCTCACTGGTTGAACTGCTGAAATACTGTAGAAAAAATTTGTTTTGGTGAATTCGGCGAAAACCGCCATATGAAAATGATAAGACTGAATTGATCACAAATGGACATCCGAGTCATCAATTCAGTTTTACAACTCTATGTATAATTTACCATTTCTGAGGAAATCGAACAAAAAAATGCCAAATTTTTGTTTGTAGGGCACCTTGTAAATGATAAGGAGGCAATAGTAGTCTAGGGGATAGAAAGTTCATTGCTATATAGGTACATAATATATTGAAAAATGTTCGAAATTTCCTTCTTTTTTTTCTCATATCCTTATTTTCTCCATACTCTGTTTGATAAAATTATGAGCTCTTAGATTTTTTTTGATATTACGTTTTATACAAACAAATAATAATAATATTTTTGAATAAAGCCGAAAAAAAATTCTGAATACTTCTTTCCCAAATCAATATCCTACAAGTCACTTGCTTTTGACCTTTCAAAGGTAATATTTAGTATTTATTATTTAGAAAAAAACGCAATTTCAAGAAAACTGTTAAATTGGAAGCTAATGTCAATCGTTTGGTTGCCTCTCAGATGTAATTGGTTTCCATTGTGCTATTTTTTTGTAAGGAGGCAAGTATGTAAATAATGTGGTATTCCGAATTTATGAACTGAATTAAGATAATTTATATAATTAATTTATGAGACAAGTTGTGAATATCCGCTGAAAAACCTTAAAAAAGGTATCTAGCTACTGGCGTACGATATTCCAGTAGACATTCTTAAAACTCGCCTTTGTAAGCCCCTCTATTTTTTTTTTTAATTTTCAACTACCCCACTTTCCATTTCTTTGAATTATTTGATATTTTTTGCAATGTATTTACTTTTCCATTATAAATAATCATAAAACTTGTGATGGGTTGCACATAGTACAAAATCTGCCAATCAGAATTTGTCAAGCTCATTTTGCAGCAGCATTTCCATTCAGAAATAAAAAATAATTTTTGGCGGCAAATCTTCTTATCAACTTGTACAATATAAATTTTAATTTTCGTTCAAATAAATTTATAACTTTTGATATGTACAAAAGCAAAATGCCAAACTTTTTTACGGCTTCTATCTAATTTAATGGAATTTTTCTTGTATTGATTTGACTGGTACTTTATATTGCCATTCCGTTGAGAATCTCGCCATGAATTTTGTAAAAATACTCGCAATTCGCTATGTCACTTAATTTACTCTTAAAAATCAATAAAAAAACGATACTTAACTGTACCATATAACTTAGCAAATAATATATTTTACCAGAGCCAACGTAGTTACTCATGTGCATTTATCGACATTTATGCCTATCCATCTATACAGGCATGGACGCGTATGTTCGTGGAGATTTATTTTAATGTCTTTACCAAAGCGGTTGAACACAATACGCGTGCTTGCAGCTTCCAGCTTCCACTAGCTAATATCAATTCACATGATATACATATATCACCCTATATATACATATGTATGTAGTAATGTTGAAATGTGTGAAAGCATGAAATGTGTACAAATAAGCAAACGATCCTATTTGCCCTGCTGCCAAAGTTTATATCGCTGTAAGAGCGGAAGGACAAACGGCATTCAGAAGGAGACAAAAGCGTGGAATTACAATGAAAATAGCATTGCAATAGCTAACAATGACCGCGAATGTTTACGATTATGATGAAATTGCCCTGTAGAGAATTGTCAAAGAAAATGAAAAATAATTTCTGGAAATGCATTTGATATATTTAAAATCGAATTTCATGACCCCAGCTTTAAAAATAAATTATATTTTTGTAGTAAATTTAACGATTACAGAGTACTGATAATGCAATAAGCGAATTGGGATCAGAAGGTTAGGATTTGAGGTTTTGTCTACGAATTGTTTTTTTTTTTTTGTTTTAATTCTCCGGCCGATTTTCTGAGCAGCTTGTGCCGTCTCCATATACGTTTGTATTTACGAATGCATGATTGAATTCAGCTTATTTGATTTTTTTGTATTTTTGCCAAAAACGAAAAACTATTAAAAGAAAATTGTTTACAATGTCGCTCCACACCGATTCCAATTCAACTCACTTTCAAGTATTTGCGAAATTTTAATTTGAAGGGTGTTTTATAGAAGAAGTTGTTTCTTAACTTTTTCAGTCAATTATTTTAGCTTTCCTCCGAAGTAAACTTTTTATTATTGTACTTAAGTTTTGATAAACTATTTTATATACAATAGCCTGTACAGTAGATGAGGAAATTTGGTATGAAACTAATTTTAAAGTTTGAAATTTCATCGCAGGGTCAACACCAACTGAGGCTAACAAAATTTCATTTAACAAGCCTTGCCGGCATAATGAAGCAATGCAAAGAAAAAATATACAGACTATACGGATTCTTTGATTCAGTCACTACTTGTGCACATTGCTAGTGCTAATGGTGCCGCCAGCGGTCTTCACTTATTTGCTGAATTTTCATTATTTCATTTTGTAAGGACGTTAGGCTGCTTAGCGCTGCCTCGTTTCTTCCGCGTAATTGAGGTTTTTGGTTATTTAGGTTGCCGCCGCTGCTGATGTTTTTGAAGTTATTATTTGTGATAGTGAAAACCCAAAATGCCATGTATTCGTTTGTATACGAGTATATGAAATTGGCGCATTACAACCACCTCATCGTTTTTGGATATTATTTCCTTTAATTTTGATATTATGTGGGTATCTTCACTGCAAGTGAGTGGACTAATGATTTTAAGCGTTTAAATAAAAGCAAACGATAGACTTTATTTTGCCGAGAATTCCCTGGAAGTTCCGATTTTATTTTATCTACTGGCAACAAAAACGGATGTGAAGAACCTATGAATTTTCTCGTTGCTTGCATGGTAAAATCCAGACCCTCCATTTAAAGGCAGCACCGCTGTTTCACCTACAGCAACCCTCAACGTATGTATTGTGAGAAAAATTTTTTGTTTTTGCATAGTGGTAATTTCTGTGCGTACGCATTTGAAAAGTTTCAGTATTGAATGACTAATTTAAAAAAATCTACAATAATTATCTTATATTATATAGAACTCAATAATTCAAAAGATAACATAAATTTCAAGTTTAACGCCCTGACCGTGTTATAAACGTCTCACCCTCGACATCTTTGTTTTTTTAACGGAGAATCTACACTATAGATAAAATAGAATTTTTCCGAATCGAAATTTGTTTCAGTTTAAGTTTATGAAGTTTTTAACTTCGTCGATATAAGGTATAATTTTTCTGCCACCTTTAGTTTTCCTTCAAAAATCCTATTGCTTAAATTAGCATAAAAAAACAAATTTAACTTTTGTACAATAATTAATTCAGTAAGAAATAAAATAAAATTAATTAATATTTTTGTGTTATATTGCTTTTCAATTAAAAGATTTAATTAGTTGGTTGGTTCCCTTCGCATTAACAGCCTTCATTTTCCTTGAAATAATTCTCCAACTTTTTTAAAAATTTGAAATTCTAGAAGATTTTAGTGTCTTCATTTAGCTCAAATCTACAATATTCTTACCAACACCAGGTTAAAAAACATCAGTATAAGCTGGAGGGGCACACCTGTTTTAGTCTGAACCGACTTGAAATAGTTCTACTGGATTCTGAATGAGCTTTGTGTATTGTCCAGTTTCAGTTTACATAGCAGTAAATTTACCATTAATAGTTAGACATGGCGTATACGTAACTTTTGGTAGGTTATATTGTAAAAATTAGGTATAGCTAAAAGTAGACCATTATTTTTGTAATAGATTTCTTTAGAACTTTAACCTAGCGTTCAGTAAATGCGACTGCAAAGAAGACAAGGTTAAAAGTGCTGATCACTTAATTCAGTAGTGTCAAGGCGTTTGTCACAGATGGACACCAACAAAGAAGAAATTTATATTCTTTAGAGACGATAACGCACGGTTTATCTGCGAATCGATGCTGAATAGAACAAAATCGACCCACTTCTGAAGCACATGGTGAATAGTGAGGAAAAGCGGAGCACTTGCAATAACATTAAATGAAAATGGTCGTGGTCGAAGTGCATTGAACCGTCAGAAGCGGCCGCCAAATCCGTTTTGTTGTCTCGTTGGTAGGATCATCAAGGACAAACTCTTGATTCGGACATTTACTGTCGGCAATTGGAACGTCTGAAAGAAATGTCAGGACAACGTAACGCCACTCAAATCGAAAGTGACTCGCCAAAAGCTTCGAGACTTTGGTTCGGTGCTCTTATGCATCTGTCCGGTTTTCACCCGAAGTGAGTATCATCGGCGCTTGTCTATGACGAATGATTTGACTGGGGAAGAATTTGTCTCTTGAGAAGATTGTGAATTTCGATTGTCCCAATTTTTTTTACTGACAAGGATTTCTATGTGAGTGACAAAGTGACATTATCTTCAAAATGTCAAAGAGATATAAGCAAAATGCTGCTTATTTGACATGAATGGTATAATATTAACTAACGTAAGTAAATCCTTAAATTTGATGTAAAAATATTGGATTACTTTTTACTACATCAATATATGTGTGTCCTGAAGTTTTGTAAAATTTAAGCCATAAAAGACATATATTATTTGGTTTTGCTTTAAGAACATGCAAGCCACTTTCCTCACACGTATGTAAGTGTGTGGTTGCACACATGATTACAGTGGAATGTAGCGGTATTTGCTTAGCTTTTCAAACACAGAAAGCTTTGTATGCAAGCATAATTATATTTTTTTTTTGCTTGCATGTAAACACTTTCACATGCACACATTTTTCCATGCTCTGTACGCATTCTGGGTGATGAAAATATACATAATTCATTTATGAACGTATGTGAGTATGTATGAACCATGCAAACTAAATTAATTAAATTCCATTTTGAAATACAAAATTATTTTCGGCCACATAATGGCATGAGTGTTTGAGTCTACTCTTCATTGTCTACCGACTTTTTGGGCTTACATAGTAAACACAAATTTGATTTT